CTTTATATGAACTTATATAGTGTCATCAAATGAATCTTTTTTCACTCGATAGAAAATGTACACGGATATATCATGTACCCATTTAAATAATAATATGTAATTAAGTATTTTTGGTACCTATATCAGTAAATTTTACCCAAATGGTCAAATAATTTGCATATTTAATGTCCATGATGGAAATTTGTCTAATCCAAAACATATATGATGGACAAGCATCAATTATTTTATACTTGTTTTATCTAATCTAGTACAGTAACTAAACCTGTGCTCTCGAAGTTTTATCACACTCTCAGAAGTGATCAATAAATCATCAAATAAAAATATAAATCCACTAATTTCAACATTGTCCTCAAAAACCATTCTCGGTAATCCAAATAAGAGACTCAAAATATAAGACACATATAGGGTCCATTTAGCTAACCAAAAATAACAATAACCAACAACGAGGTACAAGGTACTACATTATAACAGTGAAACCTCCCCTTGCGGACATTTTCTTGGGAACCAACAACAAACTTTCTACAAACTGAATAGTAGACATAATTTTAGCGACCGAGAGTGTCTGGTATTAAGAGGTTTCACTGTAGATAGTTACATCAGTACATCACCATGCAAAATGTAAATAATTATATAAAATATAACATAACATTTAGATTTTGAGCGGCATACTTCGATCTTCAGCATCAAGAGAAAGGATCTAGTATTGGTACTTTTGGAGGGCCAAAAGAAAGCATTCCCAGTTTAACAAAATAAAATAGAGAATTCGGAAAATCATACGCACAGCTAGTTTTTGACAATATCAAAAACGAATGACTATAGAGACTTGAAAGTTCACCTAATATTTATATTAGCATTTACTATAGATGTGGTAGGTAACAATACTTAACATATTATATTTTGTCTGTTTTTATGCCATTTATAGATATTTCACATTTTCTAATTTTTTAGTATATTTTCGATCTAGGTATATATCATTTTTATGAAATTTTTCAAAAGCCCCTTAATATGTAAATTATTAGGCATACTAATATTAGGTTCTCATGCAGTTTTTTTCATAACAATATTTTAATTTTTCCTCCTAAAGTTTGAAAATGTTATACAATAGATTCCTCATACATTTTTTATGAGCGACTGAAGTTCAAATTGTATTGACTTCAGATTTTCTTACGTATAATAACGATTTATCTTCAAATAATAAAATGTATGTAATGTCGTTATTGTTCAAAATATATTTATAGAAACTAGAAACATTCCACTATTATTCAAATAAATTATCATCATTTGTACACAATAAAACTTTTAAAACATTTATACTATTTTTTTTAAGCTACCTTTTTATAATAATTATTAGAAGTTTCCAATGTTTTTAGATTTTTTCCATAAATGTTGATAACAATTTATACGCTGGGTCAAAACACAAAAAACTTAAAGTGTTGTTTACTGTTTTATGAGTTACAACTTATACGTATTTAAATTCTGAAGTATCGATGAGCGGAGCGGAGCGGAGTGGTGAACATTTAGTATTTACCCTGAAAAATGTTAGTCCACTACTCATCCGCTGGTCTACACATTTAATATATATAAATAACTAATAAACTACTTGTCCGAAATTTGATTTCGATAGATTGAAATACTCCTAATAATATTCTGTTTAGGAACATAAAATTAAAAATGTAAATGTTCATTCAAAAGAGTAAAACTTAAGTTATAAAGATAAAAAATATTAATATTTTTCCAAAAATGTTGTTTTGTAACCACTTAAAGTTATGTAGAAGAAATGTTTTCAAAAAATTTTGTGTTTTCTGAAATAAAGAGTGTCTTATGTTAAGTGAATCACTCCGTATAATAATATCAGTATGACCGTATATATAATCAATGCAAATGTATGTTATTGGTTTGCAAAAATTATAAATATAAATTATAATATTTTTATATTTAAGAGCATTAGTTTACGTCATATGCTTTACTGTTAATGGGATTTAGCCATAGGTATTATAATATAAAGTTATTGATTAGGTACATTGCGAATTATAGGTATATTATATATATTATAAACACAAAGAAAAACAATGATAAAATGCGAACAAAATTGGCTATTCATTTTTAATAATTTTTTACTATCATACATTTGTTACGAATTACGATTATGTATTTACAATCAAAATTATGGGTACCATTTGTCCATCTCGGCCCTAATTTGTTAGTAATACTATATAAGAGGTACCTATCGGCTACCATACCTACATTTTTTTTTATCTCTCAGTATTTGCATTACTTTTGCGACGTATACCTACTAAAATATGGTTTGAAAAAAAAAGTTTGCGTCTCGACTGAGAGATAGCTCTATTACAATAAATGCTGACCAATGATTTTGAAAATAATAATAATAATAATAATAGTATATTGAATTACAACATTAAAAATTAAGTAATTATAATTATAATTAAAATAATTATTAAATATTCTAAGTTGACGTTATAGTACAGATGACAGATCTAATATAAACTTACCAGTTCTTGTGTTCGTTCTATCCGAGGCGGATGTCAGCTGGTGTTGGTTTTCTTGAAGAAATACATTATTGTATGGAACCGAATCAGGTGGGATTTGCATTGATTGGTCTTCAGAACATTGTATTGTGGGTTTCATTCTGAAATAAGTAATTTATAAAATCAAAATACAGTATTGGTGTATAGATTAAAGGTTGGTAGATTTATAACATAAGCTACTATTATGGTAATAGTAATTATGGTCATATACCTAATACAGATAGGTACTATACTACTATAAAAAAACGCGAATATTTTATAACTAAACGTTCTGCTGAATGGCTATTGATATTTCATAACATAATTTGTAAAAACTTTTTTCGAATTATTTCCTCTTTTTTTTCGAAACCCGATTGCGTTGAAATACAACATTATAGGTACATAATATAATATATAATTAATTAATAACAATAAAATATTGTATAATCAAATATGGTCACGCGTGCATGTGCGTGCACCGCGTGCTAATACCGCGGAACGTGGGTTTATATTATGATATATTATTATTATATTAAGTATGTTGTATGTATACTAAATATTATTATAAAAATAATTAAAATCAGTCGAAACACAGAAAAACGATAGAAATAGTTTTTTTACAGGGTATCATACTGTTTATAAATAATAAATTAATACTGTAAAATATTAAAAAAAAAAAAAAATCAAGGTAATAACGTTATTCTATATTACTGGATTCACGTCGAAAAATTATCAAGTCAAGAGTATTTTCCTATAATCCTTTTCCCTGCGGGTAGAAAACAATATAGTAAGTTTATAACAGACGTGCTTGGTGGGGGAGGGGGGGGGGCACGATGCGCGATCATCGATGATAAAAATATGATATAGTGTATTACGCTGTAGTACAATATTATTATTACAATATACCTGTGCAGAGGGTAGGTGGCCGGACCGGGTGCAAATATTATATTATTAATATTGTTGGCGGGCAGATAGTGCGATGACTGCAGGTGTAGTACGAGACCGGGGGTAGTATGGGTATTTTAGGTATATTCGGCGTGCCTATATATTAGCGTTCGCGAATTCGACGTCCGCGCTCTTGCAGCCCCGCCGTGAAATCACGATCGTCGTCGATCTCGAATTTTTGACGAAATCCCGGGGGGGGGGGTCGACGACGAGACACGGGGCCCGGACTGTGAGAGAGTGACGCGCTTGTGCACTTGGCCGAATTCACGAGACGATTGTCGGGCTCGGGCAGTAGCGCAGTACTCAGGCGGCTGACTGGCGCGGAGGCGACGACGGCGGCGGCGGTAGTACGCACGCAACGTATACATAATATTATATACCTATATAATAGACAGTGTATACGATAGTTGGCGAGAAGAATGGCAAAATATTCACACGCGCGCGCGGGACCGCGCTCCACGAGCGTGCACACGCACCCGCGCACACGCACGCGACATTTGCAGACGGGGTGAGTCGCGGCCGCGGTCTTCTGGGAGGGGAAGGCGGAGAAAACGTGAGCGCGTGGATGGCCGATCGTGTATGATGTATATAATATAGTATATACCCATGATATAAAATACAATATACAGCAGCTGTGTTGTTGGCCCCGTGTATCCACACTCGCCCACGTACACGCACCGGTCGACGCACACACGCGCTAGCGAACTGTTCTCATATTATCAGCTGCGTTCGGCGCAGAAGTACAGAATTCTACGATATCCGTATTCCGCGTGCCGTTACCGTTACCGGCGGCACTTGTTTCTTATCAACATTTTCGCAATAACAAAACCAAACGTGCCCCGATATACTCTATCCCAAAAGAGAATAATGGCATAATCACTTTTCGCGCATCACGAATGATTCGATTGGTGCGTCGAGAACCACGTGATCACGTTAACACGGGGAAGTTGGTGGGAGATGCGCGGCTCTGATGATAACCGGGCGGCCGACTGATTATTCTCTTTTGGGACAGACGGAAATAGTGGGAAATCCGAAATACTAAATAGTAAATACTAAATAGTAAATACTATTACGGTTGTGGTGTTGTACACTTTTTCAATGTTCACTTTTCAGTACCGGTGGTCTAAAATATAGTGACTAAAATGAAGATTATTAATTGAGATTAATCTCTTGACGCTAGTGCGATAAAAAAAAAAAAAAAAAACCGCCCAACTTACATCAATTGACGGTCTTTCTGTTAATCTGTTTGCGTTTCAACATTGTTAATTATTATTATTAATATAATACCTACGTATGTTTTTATTTTTACGTATACTCCAAATCGTTACTATTACCGTCGTTTCCCATATCGAAGCTTCTTATTTATTTTTCATTAAAAGTTAGGTTGAGCAGTAGCCATCGGGAGACTCTTATTTTATTTACTGCTTATTATTAATTAACAGATGTCAGATACCTATTACTGTTGATTGGAAACGTTGTATTTTTGTATTGTTTGGATATTATCACTTAGTCCTGTGATTTGTTACTACAATGAACTCCACGGACGATGAATATTGGAATGAAAAAAGTTTTGATGGATTTAGCTTTGAAGATGAGGTTATATAATTTATTTACTAAAATGTTCCAACTTATTACCTATTATGAAGGGGACGACAAATCCTTTGTATTGTCTCCATCTTACAATTGTACCTACCTACAACTTAAAAGTATTTTGCGTTCAGCAGGTTTTCTTATGTTAGTTTATTATATAATAATTTATTACAGAGCGAATTCGCCTATTATCAAAGTTGAAAATAGGAATATTTATCTTGGGCACCTCATTGAAATTTATTTTAAAATTAGTTATAAGTTATAACAAATCACCTGGTATAGTATTATAATTACAATTTATAAAACTTTAATATCATTAAATGCCTACAAGGTACTGTACCTAGTTAATATTCTTACATTTTACTTTGATAATAAGTCGATTGAAAAATCTACTCTAATTTCAGAGCTAACAATAAGTAACAACACAACATTGTTTATGCTGAATGTCAATTTGCTAGGCGTGTTGCAAGATGGAGACAACACAGCGTGTTTGATGTTCTCATAATCTAATTATATATTTATATACATATAATGTTAAGGTATTAGGTAATAAATGTATTACATGATTTATACATTAATATATTCTTAATGTTATGTTGAAATTTACTTTTGATTGAATTACAAATTACCTACTTACTTAGTGAAATATTCTATGGTTCACATAAAAGTTGAAGCTAATCACACATTAACATACTAACATACTAACTTACTACCTATTAGAATTATAATACATTATATTATATATTTTAAATAATAAATGTGTTAAATCAGTTAAATATTTTTTGAAAATGAATAAGAATTGTATTTATTTATTAATTTATACTAATTATGGAAATACTATTTTTTATTTAGGAAAAGGAATTTAATTTAATTCAGAAAATTCCACCCGAAAGTGAAGGTAATAAACTATAAAATGTATTATAATAATTAATAATATCGCACCCCGGCGACTATAATGACACAAGTCAAAACCGGTATTTTTTCAGGAGAGAGATTTTTAAACTGGCTTGTAACTTATAATATAAATAAAAAACTAACCAATCGTTCAATAGTTACCGAAATTATACCAACTTTTTTTATTTATTTTTTACATTTTATTAATATAACTGTAAATTTAAAAACATAATTATTAAAAAAAAAATTTTGAGTTGTGTCGGTTTATGTAATTTGTTTTAAAAATAAAATACGACTTAAGTCAAACAATTTTGAGTTGTGTCAGTTTATGTAATTTGATTTAAAAAAAAATATTATAATATTTTACAAGTTGTTGACTTACATTACAGTTGGATTACATTACAGTGAGTTATAAAATTCGTGGTATAGAGGTGGAATCAGATTTTGCCTACAGAGCTCTAACAAGTCATCTTTTTTGGCTTTTGAAATTTCAGGCCGAACTTCATACGCTCTTGAAAGAGTTTTAGAATAAAATAAAATAAAATATAATAAAATAATTTGTATGATGTTATTATCTCAAAAAGCCAAATTTTTGACTTGTGTCATTATAGTCGCCGGGGTGCGATATATTATTTGATTTATTGTCGGTTTAAACCTATTAATAAAATTAAATATATTAGGTTTACAAATTGGATCAACAAAAGCTAAATTAAAAAATGTTGAATCATTGGATACACTACTTTCAAAAGAAATTTTAGATAAAAGTAAGTAGGTATTTATTTCTGAATCATATTGTGTATATTTATTAATTATTATTATGCTTTACAGTATTTATAAAGCAAGATTCAAAGTCAAATAAAATAAATTCAACTCAAGTAGGTTAAAATTGTATTAAAATATTTTATTATTTACATACAATTATATAATTTTTTTATTTTTTTAGAAAAAATTGAAAGATGTCAAGTATACTATAGAAAATATTGTTATGTCTCATACATATACACTAGAACCATATCACAGCTTAGAAGAAAAAATAATGTTGTTAAAAGAAGCTTTGGATACAGAAGATGGAAATGCAATACTAACTGTATACAATTTCAACTTAAATTAAATGTTACAAATATTTTTATAATTGATGTACTATTTCAGGTTGTTATATTTTTAACAAACACTTTGAAGAAAGGTATTTTCCAGCGTATATTACGTGATAATCCTATTGCTGCTTCTCATTATGTTCAATATTTGTACTCTAAACAATATATTGAAGAATTAGTCGACACTTTAGAGTATGTTCATGTATGCTAAACAATTAAACAAATATATAATATTGTGAAACATATTTTTTACAGAATGTTGGGACGAACAAAAGATGCAATGGTAAGATACAATTATTTAGGATGATTGGTCAATATACAAATGTCTTTTAAAAACCTGTGTGGCTGTATATGAAAAATATTTTAAAATGCAATACATAAAAGGTTAAAAGTTTCTTGGCAATGTATTAAACAAGTAACAACCACTTTTAAAATTAAAGTAATTTAGAAAAATATTATTATTTTGTTATTTTGTATCTTAAAAATATAATTACATTTTTTAGTACAGTATTTTTTAGTACAGTATTTTATTGTAAATAAATTTTTATTTTTCTGAAAATAAACCTTACTTTGTGAAACCCCTTTATGATCATATATATTTTTTTAACTAAAAATTTGTCGACATAATTTGTTTTTCTGTATAATTATATTCACTTTTACAATTTTTTACAAACAATCATCATTAAATTAATTTTTGTTTTCAATTTTAATTTGAGTACAAAAGAAACAACTTATTGTTTAATTATACTATTACAATAAGACAACTAGGTATATTAAACACTTGAACATGTTTGAAAGAAGAATTTTAATAACTTTCTTCTGTAGAGTTCTTCTAAATGTTTATAGTTTAATTTTAATTTGTAACTACCATGTCAATAATATGAAACTAATGTCTTACATGACATACAAAATACAAGATGAACAGAACAAATAATATGGCATCACACATTGGCGGATATATCCTAGTTCTGAGGGGGGGGGCGAATTTAAAATCCACAGAGGGAATGACGTTCAACCCCCCCTCCGCATGTGGTGGTGAAAAGCCAGAGGGGAGGGGGGAAGTCCCTCGATATCCGCCACTGGACACACTTAACTATTTAAAATATCAAATATATTATAATTTGTAAATATTTTATTTATTTAGATGATGTTATTCAAATTTGGATGTCGAAATCCACAAAACTGTTTGCAAAGATTCAATGTATGTGCCAATCTATCAGACGAACAATATGATAAGCAAATTATATCACAGCTTATTAATTTAGTTGGTAATTAAATATATACCTAGAACCAATTATTTAATTTTTTTTTAAATTTTAAATATTCAATTATGTTTTAGGTAAAAGTGGACAATTTGTGTCAGTTGTATCGTTAGTAACTGACAAATGTAAGGAGCAACAAAATGTACAATCATGTCGTATGGTGGCTAATGAATTTAATCTGAGTCCTAAACAGTTGGAAGCTACATTGTTGATGACTTTTTGTCAACTACAAAATTGGATTCTTGTGGATGACATGTTGTTAAACAAAGTAATTTAATTTATTATGTTTCAATTTATAACAACTAAAACTTCTTATGTTATGTGTTAACTAAGTTATGTAATTGTACACAATAAATCAACTGAACAATGAATTACCTATTTAAAATTGTAAATATGGTCTGAAATACATTATTTAAAATCAAAATTCTTTTTATACACTACACAATATTATGCTCTTGGTGTATTTCATGTAATTGAAGTTTGAATTAGTTATTATGACAACTTTCACTTCGAACTATTGTTGTTTAAAACTACATTATTAAAATTGAAGTAACATTATTTTTTTTAAATTTAGAATTGGCTTGGAAAGGATAAATTGGCTTTATCATTACCTATTGGTGAAACTGTTAAACTATTACACAATAATGGTGCTCCGTCATCTTCATTAACCCGTTATATAAAAATGATTAAAGATTCAGATGAACGTTTAGAATTGGCTAAGAAATTCAATTGTCACCATATAATAATTGATGTACGGTAACAATTATTAACAATAAATTAACTATAAAGAATATCAGTTAGTAATTTATTATTTATTTGTGGTTTCAGGATTTCGCATTCAAAAAAGATCGCAGGGGATTATTAGTATACAAGACGACATTACAAAAGCAGTCTGAAAGCTATTATTATGCCGATGTAATTTTAAAGAGTCCAGTAAGTAATAAATATCAACTATTTTATTTCAATAATTTTTTTATTTTTTTTATCTTTTAAAAAGTATATTTATTATTTACAATCTATACAACAAACAAGGTATAATGATTAAGTGTGGTGACATAAGAACATTAGACATATAGGAAGGCTACCAGCAGTTCCACCTGACCAGAAATTAGGTTTTCTTTTTTCTTTTTTATAGTTTTGCACAAGTTAATCATTTTTTTTTTTAAGTATTGAGCAGGTCTCTTGGCCATTTTCTTTTTGACCTTCTAGGAATGAGTGAGGTAGTGGATAGATTTTTAATTAGTGGATTTGATGAGCTTGAAGTTTTAAGTGGAATTTTATGTAATGAGATTTGGCTAAGTCATTGAGGGTTGGAATATTAAGGTCTTTGTGGAGGTTTTTGTCGGTTACATACCAAGAGGCAGAGGTTATTAAGCTTAGGCATATGGATTGGAACGCTTGCAATGTTTTAGTGTTATTTCAAATATTTTACACTTGTTTTGCTTGGAATTTTCTATTTTTGTGTCTAATACAATTCAACAATTGATATGTTTAATTAAAATACCTAACTATGTTAATTATAGCATTTTAGATTCTGAGTGAAACGATGAATGTATTGATTTTACAATGATGTGTGTTTTTTATTTATTTTTTTTGTGTCTGTGTACACGATAAGTAGTCGAAATAATGCTTCGATTTTCGACTTCAGTATCTTGTTCGATTGGAAAGTGAATATCGTTGGTGCATTGGGGAGGTCAAAATTTAAATTTCCTAGTACTTTTCAAAAGCGCCAAGAAAAACAAAAGAAAAATTAAGGAAAAACGGGAATTTTTACGCAAAATTGATTTTTCAGAAAATTGAATTTGGTTTTTGCTATAACTTTAAAACAAATGACCGTAGATACATGCAATTTTCAGTGGTTGTTTATATTTGCATTTTCTATACACGATAACATTTTCAAAATATTTTGATTTATTTTGAACTGTTTAGAGACATTTTCATTTTTCATTTTTTTTTAGTTTTTTTTCTAGAAATATCAATTAAATTTTATTTGTTGGTTAAAAAAACTTGAAAATTTAATAGATGGCTCCTAGTATATGGTTTGAAAGGCAGATGAAAAATATTAAAAATCGTTAGTCACAGTTTTTTTTTATAAGCATTTAAAGTTCAAAAATTGACAAAATATGAAAAAATCACGAAAATTAGCAAATTATTTTGAGTTAAGAAATCGTAAAAATTTTTCTTTTTAAATCTAAGATATGAAAATGTAATACAAGGTTCCTTATAAGATTGTCTACCTTTATCAATAAAAAAATGTCTACCGGAAAGTCAAATTAAATTTTTATGAGCATTTGAAATTCAAATTTTTACAACATTGGATATTCACTCGATTTCTCATGTGGCGATTTCCTTTTTTTGTTGTAATTCAAAAACGAATTACTGTAGATACATGAAAATTTCACTGAATGTTTATATTAGCATTTCCTATACACCATACCATTTTGAAAATATTTTGACTCTTTTTGAGCCGTTCACGGACATTTTCAGTTTTCAATTGTTTTAGTTTTTTTTTTCTATAAATATCAATAAAGTTTTATCTGTTGGGCCAAAAAGTGTAAAAAATTAATACAAGGCTCCTGATATATTGTTACAATAGCAATTAATTGAAAAATATTAAAAATACATAGGCACAATTTTTTTTATAAGCATTTAAAGATCGCATTATGACAAAATTTATCAAAATCTCGAAAATTATCAATCATCGTAATTAATAAATTATAAAATGTTCAGTTTTTATAGCTAAGGATTGCAAATTTAATAAAAAGATTCTCATAAATAGTTCATACTGTAGCCAAAAAATCTAAAAAATATATGAACACAGTTATTTTTTACAGACATTTTAAGTTCAAATTTGGGACGAAATTACATATTAAAAAACCTAGCATACCTATTTTCGTTATTTTGTTGTGAGTGTATAATACTATTCGTGGGTACTTGAAACTTCTAAAGTACACTATATTATAGTATATCTATGATAGTATCAGGGTTTGTTATTGATGTATAACGTGTTATAAGTAGGTACCTAATGGATAATGTGATATGATTAATTTGGAATTTATTATAGGTCAATTTTTTTTTTTAATACCATAGATATGTATATAATTTGTCTTAAACCTAGACTGACATACCGTCTTCGCTCAGAATCGTTTTTCTTATACAATGATATTGTATCATTGAATTCAAATTTAATAGCATCCATTATACAGTGATCCACTTGTAACCTACTGTACAGCAGAGCGACATCCACTTACCCACCTTTTTTTTTTATTTATTTATTTGCCCTATTCAACATAAGAAGCAACCAGGGTGTGGTATCATCTATGTATTGGTTACTAGTGGTATGCTGGTCAGTTTTTCAGCACCATCAAAAATTGGTTGCCGCCCTGGTCGCTTCTTATGTTGAATATAGTATATCATATTTATTTATAATTTTTTTCTCATTACTTTTAATGAATATGGTAATAGTCAATTTAAAAGTGTTTTTGTGAGATTGTTTTTGAATAATACTAAACATTAATTCTTTCTTATCCACTATCTAGTATACAGTAATATTTAAATGAATATTTTATTTTGTCCTGAGACTTGTATTATGTAGATTTCACTAAACTTATAAAAATATGCTTTTAATTTATGTGCATATAGCATATAATGAATTAAATTATGTTATGAGTAATACAAGTTAAAAATAATTAACATTATTTTTTTCAGTATATGAAGTGGAAAAATTAATAACATTAGTTATAATTTATATGTTATTATGACTCATAAGTCAATACTAAATTTATCACACGTGAAAACCTTTGAACAAATGTAAGACTGAGACAGATTATTCATAATTTACAAATTATTCACTGTTCACTATTATGTGATAACGATTAATTTATTTTATTATTAAATTAAATATTATTTTTTAATTGAAACTTTCATGCTATTTTTTTATGATTTAAATTGTATATATTTAAAAATATAAATAAATTGAACTGTTACCAAGTTGCAATGTACTTCAGAGAATCTACTTGTCAATTATTACTTTTTTGGAATCATAATAGAAAAATGGGTACCCAAGCTTAGTGAAATGTGACTGTACACCTTATTAAATGGGTCAGTGAAACCTTATGGTAGAAAACTAACTGTTGTTTTACTATGGCTTTCAACGCTCTATTTGATTCCACTGTAGTTGTGCTACTTATACAGTTATATGTTACGCACCTATACTTTTGGTTCAGTTATTTATACACATTTTAAAGAAAGGTTTATATTTGTTGAGGTGCAAGTTTATTTTTATTTTTATGGATATTACTAATAATAAATTCGAAAAATTTGAATCCGAGGAAAATCATGACAGTCCCACTCCTACAACATATAAAAGGAAAATTTATGGACGTCAAAAAACCTGTATGTAATCAGCAAGTAATTTTAATAATAATAAAATATTTATAGAAGTAATATGTTATTATGGTTTAGTATCAGAGACTTCAATCTATAACCCCATTGACCCACAAGAACGGAATAAAAGTAGACGTGAGTAAATTCTATATATTTTCATCACTCCTCTTGTTTGGTTTTCATTTTCATTTTTATAATTTAGAATATAGTTTTGCGGATAAAACCCTAGATTGCATTACACAATGCTTTTGGCAATGTTCATCTTGTTACCAATGCAATGAAAAAACATAATCAAACAAATCCTGGCTGTCTTAACGATAAACAATAAAATATAAATAATATGATTCAAATTCAACTTATATTTTTAATTTAATTTATCGTTTGAAATAAAAGTATCTAATGGCTCGTTTGTTGGCTTGTACAGTTGTACATTGCTCGAAACTTTGGCTTCTGGTACTTAGTTTATGCTCTCAACTTACTATGAGATGTGGTTTATTAATATTTTTCTAACGGATAATTTTAAAAACCTTTGAAGACTCAATTTCATTCAAAACAACAAAAATGATTTATAATATTATTTTTATATACTTATTGTTTATTAATATTTGGCATTTAACGGTCGTCTCCATCTTATCAACACATTTTAATAATGTTATAATTTCATATAGTTATTGTTAATTGTGTATTTATACATTTATGAAATAACTTACACTTTTTATTTTATTTTTTATTTTCATAAATGTTAATGTTTCAAAATAATGGTCATGCTCAATTCTACATTTGTAATAGGAATAATATTGTTACAACTATATCAATACCTATATTTGTTTTTTTATTACAATATTTTAATTATTTTATACTTGAATTTTTTTTTAAACAATACTGATTGTGTTATACCAATGTTCTATTATATTATTGTAGTTAAAAATAAACTTTTTAAAAATTAATCATGAATTTTTTACAAGATCAAAAATCTATTTTCATTGTGGTTTTGTTATAAATTCAATGACTACTGAATATTAAAAGACAAAAACATAATTTTAGGTTCAAACATCATATAATATTGCTTTTAATACCAAATAATAATATTATATTATATCATTGCATTACATATTATATTAAGTTTGTTAACAGTCTTTAAATACCTTGTAAAAAGTAATTTAATGTATAGTATTATATTTATATAAGTGTATCTGATGCCAATACAAATAGTATTTTTGGTTTAAAATTAGCAGAAAAGTTGAAAAACATTCAGATAAAGATAACATTGTATGGTTATGTAAAATACTATAATAAGGCGTATTCAGTATTGTAGTAATAGCCTTGGCCCATGTTCAAAAAAATATATATTAACAGTGAAACCTCTATACAAATAAAGAAAAAAAAATTTGAGATTATGTTTGCTACACAAAAGCAACCATTAACAACAGATTAAAATATACATATTTTTTACTGTAAATAAATTAAAAACTGTCCATTGTGAATTTTTCAGTGTGATGGTATCTGTAAATCGAGGTTTTACTGTTCAATATATTGTACAAGTAAAAACAGTTAAAATTATTAATATTATTAATACAAAAAAAGTGCACCATTTATTGTTCGGAATGTATACAATGTATACTATGTAAAATAAATATAATATTATAACGATAAACATAGACCATAGTTATATAAAATCATCACAACATTAAGAAGTATTATTCCACATAAATATCACAATAATATTGGTAACCAAAGATTAGCAAATAACTAACTTATAAGTATAACATTATATAAAAATATTTCCTCTAACCAAAAATAAAACCAATAAAATCAAAAATTCTCCAATGTATTTTTAATTTATCATTTTACTTGTAGTAAAAGGAGGTTTCCATCCACCAAATGTTAATTCCAAATGTTTTGCAACGGCTACACACAACCGATCTTGATTCATTCCAGCAACCACCTATTAAATAATAATTGGATAATATTGATAATATTATTGGATATTCATATTATTCTATCAAGTATAAGTTTTATAAAATAAAAGATACCTGTATTCCTAATGGTAAACCATTTAGACCTAAGCCGAGTGGCACTTGGGTGACTGGTAGCTTCAGTACGTTGAAAATAGCCCAATAAGCGAAATTGTATGGATGCAAGAATGGCTCACAATGACGTTTTGCTGTGGTTGGAGACGAAGGGAAAAATAACACGCTATCATCACCCAACAATGTCTAAAATGTGAATATTACTTTAATAGTAAATGCTTTTCTTACATAATATAATATTTAAAATTAAACTTGTCAGTTGAAATATTAAAGAATAATATCTTAACTAGTTTAGTAGCATGAAGTAATTGAGCCTTGGTGCAAGTTCAAAAACTGTGGGCCTATTATTCTAACAATGTTTCACAAAATTTAAAAAAAAATTAACCTTTAATCAAGGTAAATAAAAATATTATTAATGTAGTATATCCAGAGCCACGGGTGGCGCAAGCTAAGTAAAAAAAAAAAATAACTGCACGACGGTGTGTGCATAGTATATCGAAGCAGGAGTTGCTTATTTAAACTGTGTAAAATACAGGTAAATTTGTTATATGACATAACTAATTTTCTAATGCATCAATTAACTCCTAGTAAACTTCAAAACATCAGAAATGTTGTGTAGAACGTGCTTTTGAAAAAAATCATCAAAATCGTAAGTTTAGAAATTAAGTTATAAATGAAAAAGTGCAAACTTTTTAATGGAAATTTATATTAAATTCAGCCGTAGTCGTCATCGCATCAGCGTTGCCAATGTTACGAACAATATTATTGTTCTTATAGATTATTGTGTAAATACTCAATATTTAATAACGATAAAAATTTGTGATATCATAACAAAAACTCTTCAACTTTGACACTTTTACACATATAATAACATTAAATAACGTACTAGCACAGATAGATAGTTGAAAAGTGTCAATACTTATAGTACATTTTTAAATATTTTAAATACAATTTAAGACTTTTTGAGCGATTATCATAGGCCATTAATATAATTTTTAAATTTTCAAAACATTTCGGGGGGGGGGGGGGTCTGAGGCTCCCTTAGCTCCTCCCCTGGCTACGCCACTGATCATATATCATATCATATACCTACATATTTAATATTATACAGCAGTACAGTAGGCGATGCAACACCGCTCAACTGTGACCTTATAAATCTAAATATAGAAATCAAAGGTCATAATGATTTGATAAAAGTATAAAACTATAACAATTATCTTTTTATTTATATTTGTATATGCCGAGAGGTATGGGAAAGCGTTAAGGAACTGCTTTAGCCTCTCCTCCAACAAATTTATGTTAGCTATAAAAAAAGCTCAGCCTTATATTTAAGAAATTTAAAACTAAAATACCTATACATTTACCGATATTTCATTTGAAAGTTTATCAATCTCAGCATCAGCCCAAACTGCATTTACTTTTGGTAATTGTAGATCAATTAATTTTAATACTGCAGCCAAAGAATGATTTGAACGTCCTACAATTGTTTTTAGGATTTCTGACCATACACAAACTCTAGTCTGTAATTATAGAGAAATTTATATTATCATTTTTAAAGTAGTTTTAAATTAATTACTTGATTGTTTCCCAATGTTGCACAAAAATCTGATTCTTCCTTTGTCATAGAATGTCTCCACAAGCTATAGCTATAACGAGTACCTGAAAATTTGACTTTGAGCGGAGGTAGTTCAGTGATAGAAGTTATATCCTCTATAACGTGATCTAAAACTATTTGTAATTCATCGCTAATGGGACTAACTCGTGCATCATTGGGCTTATCAACATAGTAATACTTCAAACTAGACAAATCAACCTAAGAAAAACATCAAAAAATGAATTAAATTATTAATTTTAGAATTTTTTTGTAATATTAAATAATATATGCTTACTTCTTGGCCAATTTTCAATTCCAAAGATTTTTCTGGTCCGAGGAAAGCTTTAATTACTGGGGTTAGATCTTCAGCATATTTAGTTATAGGTCCTGCACTGACCATGGTTTGTTTTTCCGTGCCTTTTCTAAATGTCATACCTTTAGTATTTATAAAACCTGAAAATGGTAAAAATGATTATGAACAAAAAACAATATTGATCGGGGGATGTCAACATAATAAAATTAATTATTGTGTTTCACATTGTATGCATAATGCTGTTGATGAAATAAGAAATGTTTACATACTATAGTCATAAGTGATTTAGGTAACACAATACAATATTTAGGACAGTTATTACAATTTGAATACTATGCAATAAAAAAAATAATTTCGAGAAACAATGGAACAAGATGGCTAGAATTTTTTATGGTGCATGTAGAAGGTAAGATGATTAATTAAATAACTGGAAGTAAATCTAACAGAAAGAGCCAGCTAAGTCAACCCAGTCTTGGCAAAACTAAAGACCATAATATTATTTGAAGCTAGAAAATAAAGATTATACCCAGGGGCGGATACATAGTTAGGAAACTGTGGGTCAGGACATTTCAAGGGGGCCACTTATTAAAACCAGATTAGAAATCTATACTTGTGTACTAGGTATATAAACGAAAAAATTAATTTATACTGTATACCACCTGAACCCCCCCCCTCCCAGATCCACCCCTAATTATACAAATGGACTGTGCAATAATTTTGGAATGATTAATTCTAATTAAAACAATAAGAACAATTTTAATAAACATTATAAATAATAATACTAATAATATGTACATTAGCTGCACTCAAAGAATTTTGCTGACAATATATATTATATCAAACAAATTAAAAAATCTCAATCTAATACTATAGTAAAAAATAAATATTTTCCTTACCTGTAGTCAACTTATGCCCAAATAAACCACAATTAAATGCGGGTATACGAGCAGATCCTCCAATATCTGTTCCAAGACCCAAGGGACTACCACAAGCTGATACTATACTAGCCTATGATAAAATACATATTTTTTATAAAAAATTATATTTTGGGTAATATTTTATTATTTTTAACATACTTCCCCACCAGAAGAACCACCGGCTGAGTGATTTGTGTTGTAAGGGTTATTTGTTTGCCCATAAACTTTATTTCTAGTTTCACACCATAGGTTTATTTCTGGGACATTTGTAACGCCTAAGAGTATTGCCCCAGCAGTCTTTAATGATTTAACAACTTCTGCATCTTCTTTGCTTTTCATGCCAGTTCTAGATACTAGGCCTAAAGTCCAAGCCATTCCTTCTGCTCCTGTACTTTCTTTAGATGTAAATGGAATTCCAAATAAAGGTTTGCCATCAAAAATTAAATTAATTTTTTCTTCTGTGTTAGCTAATTCAATAAGTTTATCATATTCATCTGCTTCAACTAATGCTTTGTCAAACCGTGTGTCAACCACAGCATTTAATATTGGGTTCACTTGTTCAATTCGTTTGATAAAACATTCAACAACATGGCGACATGTAACTTCTTTATTTTTAATTTTATTGACAATAGTTGTACAACTGTCGAGAACCAATAGATCCTCTACTGGGGGCAATGTTTTTGATGGTGTATTTTTGTAAACATAGTAAAATATTAATGACACAAGAAAGTCATAAATAAATCGAACAAATGAAATTACATATGAGAAACAGTAGCAAGGATTTGATGTTTTTGATTTTTTTGGTGGACGGGTTTTCTTCAAGTGAACCTTTTCCTGTTTTTCCTAAAAAAATACACAAACATTGGATGAGTACATTTTTTATATTGTCAAGAATACTACTTTATCTTTATTTGGAAATCATAAGATCATAAAAACCGGAAGAGTTTGAGAAATTAAATTGTATTCATACAACTAAAATTTAGAAACGTATTACATATTATGAACATTTGTAGGTTTTAGTTATAGCCTCGGTTATAGCTTCTGATTAGTGGCGTGCACAGGAGAGTGGTTATTTGGATGTTCAAACTTTCCAATGGAAATGTCTGTGAACGCCAACACTACTACTTCTGTTGTTAGTTACTTTTTTAGACTTATTACTTTTATTTTTCAGACAGATTTTTCTTATACCTATAATTGATAATTATCAATTACATAAAATGTATAATACATACAATTATGAAATTGACTACTTAATACTTCTAGGTATTTAATAATATTTTCAGCAGGTTTGCATAACTTTGTTATGACAACAAAACATAATTACTATTTACTATACATACGCATTAGAGAAACTACTGTTTAAGACCTAATACATTTAATACATAAGTACTCTTTTACCTAAGTATATTTTTTGGATACCTACCAGTAAGAAAATTATATTTAAAAAAAAAGGCGAGATTATCAACATTACCTTTCTATATCCAGTCATTGCAAGTATGTCACGAGTCTGGTTCTCTAGGAAAACACCCAACAATAATAACAATCAAGTAAAATTAAAGCAGAAATCAAAACTTTGACATATTAGGTACTCTGATTGTCGATTTTGAGGTGGGGTAAGTAGACGATAATATTATTATGTAGATGTATGTATAATATTATTATGTGTCGCGGAGTAGGAACAAGTCACGTTACCCACTACTACAAACCACCTTGAAAAAAATGCAGAATATTGAATAATAATTGTTGTTATTATTTTTGAAATCAATGCGAAACGTTGAATTAACGTTTCTCAAAACAAATTTTCACGACGACTCATCATTCGTTTCACTTTTCTAAATTATAATATTCAAAGTGAATTATAGTAGTGTAGTACCTACATTAGGAACTTTGAAATTATTGTTGATTTGTAATTACTTCAATAATCGAACGTATTGTTTATTTGTTTTTTTCTGATGGTTTTTACTTTTTACCATTTACATTCACCGACCACCGTAGATACAACATGAACAATGAACATCCATGAGTTTAATAATTAATACAGAGTGTCAGAGTCATGTAATATACGTGCTATAACCAACTTAGTATTATCATGATAATATACATAATATTATGGTAATTGGTAATATCAAGGTAATATCAATTCTAACCACAACACGCCACGGTCGACCACGGACTAAGATAGTATCTTGTCCGTGCGGTCGACAGATTGTATTATCAGTGTTATAAGAACAATGCAAGGTGGATTAAAATCCACCTTAGGACATTGGGTATTTAAATTAATGGACAATGTTTGATGTAAACTGCTCACTGACCTACTCTCCTGTAGGATAGTAGGCCCTTCAGCCCTTGTACTATGGGGGCACGAGGCCCTTCATTAGTTAGCGTCTAGGGGCCAAATTAAGGGATAGCACATCTTAAATCTTTATTATCTTCAACTGTAATTTCTGTATTCCATAATAATTTCTAATTTCATAAAATACTATCGATACTCCTTGATAATAAATTATTGGTGTAATTACAATTGGAATTATGTTATTTTTATGGTAAAAATACTAATTTCTCCTCTGAATTTTTCTGAATGTGTGGGGCCTTCTCTAATACGAGGTTAATAGGCTTTTACAGACCCAGTCTGTCCCTGGGTGTACGTGTATTTATCATTTATTATTAGACTTGGTAAATACACCTTGGTTTGATGCTTTGTTAATTGTTTGGTTTAGGTTTATGCTTCGGTAAAAAGTATTAAAAACATTGTAATATTGTTCTACGGTAGGTAATAATCGTATTTTCCGAAAATTACTAATTTGGGTCATTGGTTATTTCCAAAAATAGGTACCATATTAAGTATTGACTTAATGTGTGTAGGTAATTGCCTAAAATAAAAAACGATAATGAATTATCAAAAATACCATTTATAACTTGGTAAATTTTGGACTTAGAAAGTTGGTTAAACCACCAAAATGCATTAAAAAATTAGGCAAAAACTAATTAGTGGACAGTGGTTAAAATAGGTGGTTGCAATTTAAGAAAAAAAGTCGTACTACGCATGCGCAAGTCTAATTAAGTTAAAAAAATTCAAAGGCTATAAAAATGTGTATTTTTATGTCATAACAACCAACAAGAAATAGAATTAAAATTGCAGGGCTCTACCCAAAGATATTGAGTGTTCCCAATTAGCGTTTACACACTGTATAGTGTACGAGTAGTGAGTACCCAAGTCTATTGGTGGAAATAGGGGAGGGAGGCGGGGGGCTTGAGTCTTGAGGGGCCTTGGCCCCTCAAAAGTCCGTCAAGCTGCCTCCTTTTTTAGTTGTGTGGAATCGATGCCCTCCCGCTCACATTAATGTTAATAATTAATAATGTTAACCTGACATTTTAATGTATTTCCGCCTATGTATATACGTATACGTCTACAAATTCCTAGAGACTATAAATAGAAGAAGTAGAATGACCCTGATGTTAATTTTATAATAATTATGTTTTTAAATAACTTATATTAAATTATTACTTATTTGACAATACATAAAACGTTTTAATGTTATAGAACTTAGAGCCTAGAGGACGCCACATGGTCATTTTTGTTTCCGTCTTACAAACGTACAACATGGCAAATTTTAAGTTCACAATAATACATAATAATACAATAATTTTACTCTGATTAGAACGATGAATGTATTTATTTAACAAAGATGTGTGTTTTTTTTTATTTTATTTTTATTTATTTATTATTTTTATTTTTGTGTTCGTCATCACCTTTTAGGTCGCAGTAAAAATGCTTGGATTTTCTTCTACAGTATCTTTTCTGATAGGAAAGTGAATCTAGTTGGTACTTTGGGGGGTTAAAAGTAAAAATTTCCTAGTAGTTTTCAAAAGCACCGTGAAAAACAAAAGAAATATTAAGGAAAAACTGGAATTTGAACGCAAAATCTGTTTTCGAAAAAATCGATTTTGGTTTTTGGTGCAACACTTAAACAAATGACCTCCTAATAAAATGTTTCAAACACAGTTGAAAAATATTAAAAATACATAGGCACATTTTTTTTTATGAGCATTTAAAGATCGAATTTTGACAAAATTTATCAAATTTAAAATTGAATAATTATATTGTAGTTAAAAATGAATGAAATGTTCAACTTTTATATCTAAAGATTGAAAATTTAAAACAAGATTCCACATAAATCGTTTATTCTGTTACCAAAAAATCTAAAAAATTCATAAGCACAGTTTATTTTTAATTTTTATAGTAATTTTAAGCTCAAATATGGACAAAATTATATATTAAAAAACCTAGAATAACTACTATTTTAGTTATTTTGTTGTGATTGTATAATATTATTCGTGGGCACTTGAAACTTTTAAAGTATACTACTATATATATCTATGATAGTATATTAGTATCACGGTTTGTAATTGATGTATAACAAGTTATAAGTACCTAATTTCTATTATAGGTACCTATTATTGGTCAATTTTTTTTTTAATACCATAGAAATGTATATAATATGTCTTATATCTAGACTGACACACTATCTCCGCTCAGAATCGTCTTTTTTATACAATGATATTATATCATTGAACTCAAATTGAATACCGTTATACAGTGACCCACTTGTAACCTACTGTACATCAGAGCACCTTCTTTTTTTTTTTTTTAAATTATAGTGAATAATAAATTTACCTCTTATAAAATTTAAAGATAAGTATATTATCTAGGGAAACTCGGAGGATTTTATTGATTTTATTATTTTTAAGTATATGTTATGATCATTTTAAAATTTAGAAACAATGTAGGTGCAGTTTAAAAATGGTCATAACTTGCTTCTTAATAAAAATATCAATAAAAGCCTTTGAGATAACCTGGATAATAATCTTACCTTTAAATTTTATAAGAGGTAAATTTACTCTAATTTTAGAAATTACAGAGTAAAATGTATCATAGAGAACGTACAACTTGCCATGTTGTACGTTTGTAATACCGAGACAACAAATGCCCGTGTAGCGTCCAATTAAGGTGAACATCGTATATAATATGCTTTTATAAAATGTATACATTTTTATTTTAACTAAATTTAGACCTTTTATTTTCAGGTTGAACCTACGACGTCGCCATAGTTTATTCAATTAAATCGATACTATGTAACAATATATTATAAAGTTGACATGAACTGACGTTGGTCCCTTGGAGGGCTAACATTTAAATTATTAATACAAGATATAATAAGAAAATAAAATGATGACTGAATTTTCAGAATTTTTTTCGTAAACCTTTAGGTATATTTCAACGAGTTAAGCACAATGTTGTAATCAGAATTTGTCGGTTGGGCAAGGTTATAACATTTTAAAGGTCGAGATTTTGCGTATAATATATATTCGCAGATTATTCTACAAATCTACATAGAAAATGCAGTTTATCTCCAAAGCGATTTTTAGAAAATTTTTTCGGAAATCTATATAATCAAACAGTTAAGTACAATGGTACAATCAGAATTTATATGTGTTCATATTTTTATTTAAATTTTTTTCGTTAGATTTTTTTTATCCGTGGGTTTTTTCCTCGATTCATTCTTTAGGTACCTATTTGTATTCGTCTGGTCCATTTCTGTACAGAATATAAATACACAATAGATGAAAGGTAAGTTATCGATATATTAATGGCTACAGTTTTATATTATATAAGGTTACAATTTATAAATGCTTTTGACTTAATAAAAACACAATTTAATAATAAAAAATAATACAAATTATATAGTATTTTGTTTAATTCTATCCTATTGGCTATTTGTAATTATATAGTGTATCAGTGGCCAGTGGGGATGTGCTAAATGTTTGGAAACTAATTGATTGAAACTCTAAACATATATGGAAAATAAAATTAGAGAATGCTAATTGCTAATGTTTAGCATATAATATGTTGGAAAATAATAATTTCAAGTAAAATAAACATCATTTAATATTTAATAATACCTACATCTATGGACCACTCAAAAAAAAAAAAGGTAAGGATGTCGAAATACCTTCTCAGCAACTTTACTAGAGTTTATGCCTTATGGTGGGCTATCTTGTCCAGCATAGAGAAAATACTACAAGAAAATTTCCAACATCAATGACAAAAATAAATTATAATGTTCTTTGGAAGAACTCGCTACATATTTAAATAGTGTGAGAAACTCAATCCAAGCTATTAAAAACATTAACCCATGGAAAGAGGTGATTTTGTCACTTTAAGTATTTTTATGTTTACCGCGTTCGAATGACCGAGATTATGAGGCGACCTCCGAACGCGGGCGACGTTGAGGAAATCCTGTGTGGTCCCCTGTCACATGACTTGCCAGAAGACGCCCAAGCCCGAAGGAGAATTACCAAACAGTTCGAAACTAATCGCGTGGAGTTCATCCGCATGGTCGAGACGATTCTGTCGACCAAGGAAAAGGATGAACGCGAAGAACAGGCCCTGCGAAGGGCTCAGGGGAACGTGCTACCGCCCTGATGGAGAAAGAAACATCCAGAGTGGTGGACTCCGGTCGGCCCGAGAAGTAAAAATACTTACGGGCGGGACGGCGATCACGGCATCGCAGCACAAAAGGAGAACGAGATTTCAAGGGCGGCGGACTCCGGTCGGCCCGCCAAAAGATGAACATCTCCACAACTGCCGAAAATTTTTAAATGTTAAATGTAATATGTCATGTATAGAGGGGGGTAAGTCGGGGAACTGTCCCGTCTACCCCCCACGTATGTATAATTATTTGTTTCTTTCAAATAAACGATGGCGGCGTCGCGGAAGAATGCGAAAGCAGTTCCCGCGACGCCGTCGGTTCAAAACTGGAAAAAAAAAAAAAAAAAGTATTTTTATGTTTAGGTACTTTATATATACACACTTATGTTAGTCATTTTTAAACATAATAAGTCCAGTGTTAGTTGTAGACATATTAACTAATTCTAAATATTTTCTTTCCAATTATAATAGTTGCTACAAATGTCAGTATTTAATTTAAGCATTCATATGTAAATTATACAGCATTTAAAGTCAACAATTCAGATAATAATAAATAATTAAAAATAAAGTTAAAAAAAGTTTGGTCAACTGTTTGCATATTTCTTGAACCCCGTGCAGCATCTTTAATAATAATAATATATACAATAAATTATATACACAACGTTGGATGTCCCTTAAAGAGCCGAGGCACTATAATATGTATTATACTATTATGTACTGACGAACTAATAACAGCCATTGATAGATATACATTATAAATAAAAATTATATATTTAAGCCATGGTAACAACTAACGAACAGACGGACGGACACATAGGGTGTCAAACTTTTTGAAACTAAAACGCGTCATTATTAGGTATTTAGATGCAATTGTTTAAATGTGTATACCAAGTGGCAAGTACCAACATGTATAGGTATATTACATGTTAACAATAATATTTTTAAATTTTATTAATATTTTTGTGAGTTATTGTTAATATTATTTTCTTTTCTAGTATCTTGAATCATTCGTCCTGTATAAAAGGTACAACTAAAAATAACATAATATTTATCGTTGTACTCCCTACTAGTCGAATATAGGCAACTAAATATGCTGCATTTTCTGAACCCTCTTATCAGAAATATAATAATAATAACAAGGTGAATATCCACAGAATTGTTCTGTCGAATATCCATCTTGGATAATGTGTTATCTACAATCTATTCTACACGCTTCACGGATTTTGGATTTCAGTTTTTAACACTCAGCAGTCGGCAATATTGCTTTTTTCTACCTTTTAATTACCTATCTGTAGAATATTTTGAAATTTAAAATAGTTGTTTTGTTTATTTTTTTAATTATATCACAATAAAAATCTAAACATTCTAAACAGTTCCCATTATAACCCATAACCATGAATGTTGCAAGAAAACAATTAAACACCATAAAAATTTTTCATGCAAAACTATTAGATACGGTAAAGTACTATTTATATTAGTTTCTTCTTATAAGTTATAAGTTATTTTATACTTCTTCTTGAAACTTTATATTATAAGAAATAAATAACCATTCATTTAAATTCATTAATATTTGAAAAAAAACTATTTTCTTTTCTATTATATGACATAGTACCTAAATATTAGTTGTTTTAACTTATTATTTTGTTTATTTTATGAATATAAATTGAAGTTTTTCTTAACTTTGTTACAATTGCAATAAAAACATTGTACCTTAATTCAAGACAAATAAAAATATGTTTAAAATTGTATTTGTTTATCTTCAAATTTTACAAATTTATGCACTTATTATAGTTAAAACGACATCAAAATGATCTTGCCAATAACTACAGTCAGGATATTGAACGCCTTAAATTCGAACAAGAATCATTGAAAGCTCAAGTTGAAGCAGAATTAGCAAGACTTAAAAAACAAAAGATTCAAACCGGAAATGTAAGTTAAATAATAATTTTATAATGTAGAACCCTTTTCATTGAATTGATTTAGGTAACATCTTTATAACTGGCAATAATAAACTATAATTTACAAATATCAAATAATAAAATCCTTAAATGATGATTCCTATAAATAGCTACTTTGTTTTACCCAGCTATTTTTATGATAGTAATGTAATAATAATGTATAAATTATTAAACGGATATAATTATATATTATATATTTAAAACTATTTTGTTATTAAATATTTTGTTTAAATTGTTAATTTATTATATCTATTTGAGATGCTTTTTGCTCTTGGTTTGTCTCAAAATTCTCACAACCCAGTGGGGCCAAATCAACCCCTTCAAATGATTCAGAAACTGGCTTAATTAATTTAATAACATTCCTGTGTTTAATGCAATTATAGCAGAAATACTAGGAAGTATATACTCTATTATTTTACCCACCTACCAAATTTTTAACATGCATTACTTCCATAACCTAATTATTATATAGATTATACATTATAATTTATAATATTCTTATCTAACTAATAAATAAATAATTAACTATATAGTATACCTTACTATATTAGTTAACTGTGCTTGATTAATTATTTATGATATAATAATAATAATAATGATTCCAATAAAACAACAATATTGTTACGAGTGAAACCACTTTAACTGTAGAAGAAAATAACAAATGAGTAAATAAAAAATATATATTTAAATTTATATGATAAAAAAATGTCAACATCAATTATTGCCATCAAAAATAATTCTTAGGATTATTTTTTTTTACATTAATTTACAAAAACAGGTAAAGATTCAATATAAAGACTTCATAATGTACTATGCTAAAGATAGTTGAACATATCTTTCTATAACTGAATTTTCAATGAAGGTAAAACATAAGATATTGGAAGGATATGACGATTATTCATACCTTTCTACTATACGTAGGGTCGTGGAGAGAGAAACTCTGGCCCTGGGTAATACCTTGGGGACCCCACTATTTTTGACCACCTATCATTAACATTGTCAGGTAACTTTGAGGAGTCAATTTTCCATTATTTTTTATCAAATTCTTATCTTTAATTTTATTGTTTCTTTAGTTTAAAATAATTGAGTAGTCCCAAATGTCCGTGCCCAGTAAGAATTACCCCCTTTACTTCCTGCTTCTCTTCAGGACTGACCATAATGCTGTCTATGAATTTAATTGCAATAGAGTTATTAAGTGGATTAAAATATATTTATTTATTTTATTAACTAATAACTAGAATTGTTAAATAAGACATATTTTATTCATTTGATTTGTTTACAGGACATTAAAATAGAAGTAAACAGTAATATTGATGATGTTAATAAAAAAGACATTTCGACTGTGAAAACAATTGAAAATGATAAATGCAGTGATAATATTGATGTTAAAAAGAACAATCAAACTCTTAAAACTGAAAAGAAACAAAAAAAAAATAATCCAGGTATGAGAAACAATACATTTATAGACTTATTAGAGTGTATATTATTGATATTTAATTGGAAATATGAAAGAATTAAGTTAATTATATACTGAAATAATACAATACATTTTAGCTGTTCCTGCAAAGAGTACCATTACCACACCAGTAGATTTTGGTAGACTAGATTTACGTGTTGCTAAAATTTTAAGTGCTTCCAAACATCCTAATGCTGATGCTCTATATGTAGAAACTATAGATGTGGGAGAAGAAAAACCAAGAAATGTTGTATGTATATTGTACATAAACATTATTAGTGATTTATTTAAAAATTCATATCAGATGAAATTTAATAACAATAATGAAATTCTTAAGTATATCTCCTATAGAAATGTACTTTATTTTTCAAAAAAAAACTTATATTTTACTCATTTTATATTGCTTCTAGGTAAGTGGATTAGTGAAGTTTGTTCCATTGGAAGCAATGTCTAATCGCATGGTTGTGTTGTTATGTAATTTAAAACCCTCTAAAATTAGAGGTGTCTTATCTGAGGCAATGGTAATGTGTGCTAGCTCGCCTGAAAATGTTGAAATACTGGAACCACCTCCAGGTTCAGTGCCAGGAGATTATATAAACGTAGATGGATACACAAGATCTCCAGATAAGGTATTGAAAGTATTTGAAGAAATTGCACAGGATTTGAAAACAGATGAAAATTTACAAGCTACATATAAAGGAATACCTTGGACTGTAACTGGTAAAGGAGCTGTTTTGGCAAAATCTTTAAAAAATATTAAAATTAAATAATTAAATATTTCCTCAACATAAAAACAAAGCAATATAATATATTTATTTTGCATTGTAACATCATAACTAATATGTATAGTATTGTATTTGTTTTTGTTGAATAAATCTATCAATCACATTAGTCTGGTGCCTTTTAATTTATACTATTTTAACATTTTTATTTTTTAATTTTTTATGGATCTAAATTATTTGATATAATTAAACCTAGTCATTTTTTAGGCAAATTATAAAAACTAAAATTCAAATTTCTTTAAGGATGCTAAAATATAATTAATATAAATGATTAAACTTCAATTATCTGAAGAAAATCAAAGCAGTGTTACTGCCCCAAACGTCGATGACAGATACAAAAATTAAAAAAAAACACATCATTGAAAAATCAATACATTAATCGAAGCTGAGCTCTCCGAATCTAAAGTAATACTAAAATATTTATATTATGAACAATTAAAAAAAAAAAATAAGATTATTTAAAATAAAATGTATTAATAATTGTATAGGACAAATACTGTACAGGTAATGAATTAACGTATCATATTTTCTACTGCAATAAAAAATAATGTTATTTTTATTAATATTCTCTATTTAAATATGGTTCTATAATCATTTTTTGCTTGAATAAATTGTCCTATACATTGGTTATTTTATCCGTTCGATATTTAGATATTGAATATTATAAAACAGGGTATTTTGTTCCATTATACCGCCTGTGATAAGTGTTTCGACAAAGAGGTTGTATTCAAAATTGATACTTGTTAAGACTAAAGTAAGATCAACAATGAGTGAAGATCTTTTGGATAAATTCACGACAATAACTTGTGAACCAGACGTAAACATTGATATTGAACATACAATTGACAACTTTTCAAGAAAAAGTAAATTTCTTACAAAAGTATAACAGTATTAAACTTCTTATTGATAAAATATGTGTATAATGGAATAATAATATATTGTGTTGTTACTTGTTACCTACTTAAAATTCTAGATTCTGAGCGGAGCGGTGAATATATATTGATTTTACAATGCCGTGTGTTTTATTTATTTAAGATTCTGAGAGAACGATTTTACAATGATGTGTGATTTTTATTTATTTATTTTATTATTTTTTTTATTTTTTATTTTTATGTCTGTACACGATAAGTAGTCGAGATAGTACTTCGATTTTCAACTTCAGTATCTTGTTTGATTGGAAAGTGAATATCTTTGGTGCATTGGGGAAGTCAAAATTTAAAATTTTAGTAATTTTCAAAAGCGCCCAGAAAAACAAAAGAAAAATTAAGAAAAAACTGGAATTTTTACGCAAAATCAATTTTTCACAAAATTTGGTTTTTGGTGTAACTTTAAAACAAACGACCGTAGATACATGAAATTTTCACTGATTGTTTATATTTGCATTTTCTATATACGATAACATTTTCAAAATATTTTGATTTATTTTGAACTGTTTAGGGACATTTTTATTTTCCATTTTTTTTTAGTTTTTTTTCTAAAAATATCAATAAAATTGTATTTGTTGGTTAAGGTTTTTTACCTTGAAAATTGAATAGAAGGCTAAAGAAAGCCTAATATATTTTTTCAAAGGCAGATGAAAAATATTAAAAATCCTTAGTCACAGTTTTTTTTTTGTAAGCATTTAAAGTTGAAAAATTGACAAAATATGGAAAAATTACGAAAAGTAGTATTTATTTTGAGTTAAGAATTCGTAAAAACTTTTCTTTTTAAATCTAAGATTTTAAAATGTAATACAAGATTCCTTATAAGATTATTTACTTTTATCAAAAAAGAAATGTCTATAAGAAAGTCTAATTAAATTTTTATGAGCGCTTGAAATTCAAATTTTTACAATATTGGATATTCACTCGATTTTTCATATAGCGATTTCCTTATTTTGTTGTAATTAAAAAACAAATAACTGTAGATACATGAAAATTTCACTGAATGTTTATATTAGCATTTTCTATACACCATAACATTTTCCAAATATTTTGACTTATTTTGAGCTCTTTACGGACATTTTCAGTTTCCATTTTTTTTAGTTTTTTTTCTATAAATATCAATCAAATTTTATTTGTTGGGTACAAAAGCTTAAAAATTTAATACAAGGCTCCTGATATATTGTTACAATAGCAGTTGAAAAATATTAAAAATAAATATTCACAGTTTTTTTTTATAAGTATTTAAAGTTTGAATTTTAACAAAATTTATCAAATTTAAAATTGAATAATTATTTTTTAGTTAAAAATTTATAAAATGTTCTACTTTTATATCTAAGGGTTGAAAATTTAAAACAAGATTCCACATAAGTAATTTATTCTGTTACCAAAAAATCTAAAAAATACATTAGCACAGTTTATTTTTATAGTCATTTTAAGTTCAAATTTGGACGAAATTACATATTAAAAACCTAGAATAACTATTTTAGTTATTTGTTGTGATTGTATAATATTATTCGTGAGTACTTGAAACTTCTAAAGTACACTATTATGAATGTAGGAAAAAAAGCCACCGAAAAAAAAGCCAAGAAAAAAAATCCACGAAAATAATATTAATGAATGTATTGATTTTACAATGTGTATTTTTTTATTTTTATTATAAATTTCATAAATTTACTTATTTAATATTTTTAACTTCTACTTTTCTGGTGGGAAAATATTTAAATACAAATTTTATACTATATAATAATATAAATTAATATTGGTTCATATTACAACATGTACTTTTGAAAAAAAATCACCCTGTACAAAGTATATAATACCTAATCAAAAAAATGTAAAACAAGGTTTATAGAGGTATAATATAACTTAATATTAATTGTAGTTCATACTGCAACAGTGCGGGATGTAGGTACCTACATTTAAAAAAAAATCACCCTGTACATAGTAGATACGTTAAAAATAATTAGGTGTAAGACATAAATCAATCAATTAATTTCAAGATAATATGTAGTTTATCCACAAAGTATCATTTTATTTTTGTCCAATTGTGACATGTTGGAAATTTACTGAAGGAAATTCCCTTAAAACCGTTTTTGGGTAAAGATAGATTATATTTGTTAGATTGTTTCATAAATTTCTTTCAGTCACATATCCATCTCCAGAGATAGCATATGTCTTATTTTTCAATATTTAAATTTTTATTAGTAATTACTAATTAGTGTAACAATGGAAATAATAAATTTTAATAAAAATAATAATAAATTATGTTATGAGGGTTATATGTACGTTCGAAAACATACAGGTAAAAGTCGTATTAAGTGGCGTTGCAGTAAAGCAACCATGCTCAAATGTCCAGGGACCATTTATACAAATATTGAGAAATCAAAAATTCTTGAAATTGGAACATCTCATATTATAACACATAGACCAAATACTAACGAAGTTAAGGTTAGCAAGTGTTACAATGAAATGAAAATTCAAGCCAAAACCACTAAAACTAATCCAGCGCACATTTTTGGATAGTGTGTTGCAAAATTAGAAACTTTGTACTATTTTACTATTTTATAACTAAAAACGTTTTAATGTTGAATAATAAATAATAACATAACCTTAGCGGCTTAGCTGTGTATAAACAATAAACATGTATGTTAAACATTTAAAAAAAAATTATTTAAAAATTATTAATTTATAATTATTATAAAATTTGGATTTTTTTTCCGTGGATTTTTTTTCTGACTACCCACTATTATATATCTATGATAGTAACAGGATTTGTTGTTGATGTATAAAGCGTTATAAGTACTTAATGGATATTGTGATATTATTAATTTGGAATTTATTATAGGTCATTTTTTTTTAATACCATAGATAAGTATATAATATGTCTTATACCTAGACTGACATACCGTCTCCGCTCAGAATCGTTTTTCTTATACAATGATATTATATCATTGAATTCAATTTGAATACCGTTATACAGTGACCCACTTGTAACCTACTGTACAGCAGAGCACCTTTTTTATTTTTTGTGTGTGTAAACGATAAGTAGACGAAATAATGCTTGGATTTTCCACTTTAGTATCTTTTCCGGTGGGAAAATGAATGTAGTTGGTGCTTTGGGGAGGTCAAAATTTAAAATAGTTTTCAAAAACACTTGGAAAAACAAAAAAAAAAAATAAGGAAAAACGGGAATTCTTAAGCAAAATCAGTTTTTGACAAAATCGATTTTGGTTTTTGGTGTAACTCTTAGGTTACATGAAATTTACACTTAATGTTTATATTAGCAATTTCCACTCACCATACAATTTTCGAAATATTGAGAGTATTTGTGCTCTATTTATAAGCATAAGATAATTTCGAGTCTTATTAGTTTTTTATAAATTATTGTTTTTAAAAATTATATATTTATAATAAGTATAAAATATTTTATGCTATGTTAAAAAATTTGTAAATATTATACAATGTTCCTTAGTTCCTTATAAGTTGTTAGAGGATATTAAAAAAAAGTTAAGCATATTTACACAATAATTGTTTCTGAGCATTTGAATTTTGAATTTTGACAAAATTCATTAAATTTACTAAGATATGCAAACATTTTTTAGTTAGAAATTCATAAAAAAATTTCCATTTTATCTAAGCTTTGAAAGTGTTAAGTTTTCATACATTTAACGTTAAAAGAAACTTTACTGGAGAGTAAAATTAAAATTGTACAAGCGTTGTTTGAGTTAGACGTAAATTAACAAATTGTCATAAGATTTTTTTGTTATTCTAAATATATTATAACTGAAGATACTTGAAATTTACACAAAATGTTTATTTTATAATTTTTCTATATTTGATAAAATGTTCAAAATATTTTGACTAGTTTTGAGCTATCAACGGACATTTTTATTTTTCAATTTTTTTTAGTTATTTTTTCGGGGACTAAATTTCCGGGGTTATATATTAGGCAAATCATTTATTTTAATAGAATCGTTTAAATGCTGATGATTAAAGGCACAATTGTGTTTATTTTTTTTTATTTGACAAGGATTACAAATAGAGACAAATATAAAATCTAAGGAA